CCAACCTCGGCAACCCCTGATAGAATAAAGGTTTGGCAAACTCATTCCGTGCGATGTGTTTGTCAGGATTGGTCTTCAGGGGGGCATTGCCAGGCTCGTTCACGAACGTGTGATTGGCAAGGATAGTTCGCGAAAGTGGGATTGCCAACCTCGTTCGCGAATGTGCGATTGGCAAGGCTCGTTCACGAATAAGGGGTCGGCAAGCTCGTTCGCGAAAGTGGAGTTGACAGGCACGTCCGCGTACGTAGGGTTGGCGAGGTCATTCCCGAACGTGGCGTTGGCAGGGTCGTTCGCGAACGTGGGGTTGGCAAGTTCGTTTGCGAGCGTTGGGATTGACAGGCCCGTTCGCGAATGTGGATTTGCTAAGGTGCTTTTGAGTACAATTGACTGGCAGGGCCGTCGAACGTGCAAAGTAGGCAGGCTCGTTCGCTCTGCCGACATCGCAAAGGCGGCACGCCTGCATCAGACTTGAAGTGTGACATGGCGTGGCTGAAAAACATCCTACAGTTCCTCGGGTATTTCCTTGTTAAGCGAAAGCCACATGAACAGACACCGACCAACAACGTGCGTGCGTAGACACCTGCGGTACAGACAATAAGAGGCGCTCTTTTCACTTCACACACACAACTATTAATACACAACCGAGGCAGTCGCTAAACCCGCCTGTCCCATGACAACGGCAAAAGCAACAAGCTCATCATAACAGCGTCACAGAACAGAAGGCACAATGTTAGAAAGGCCAACCCACTAGACTACACAATCTAATGGTGTAACTTTATCTAACAAAAGATATACTCTCGGCTTGTAGCCACCCGGCTGGTCAATGGGACTTTTAGAAGTAGGGATCTCCGGGTACGGACCCCTCGCCAGGCGCTGCAAGGAAAAGAACGAATGGTGCTTATGAAAGTCCTGCGCTGACTAGACTAGAGTGTATCAAGGATACTCACACGGGTTCGAATCCCAGCTGGTCACTTTTACAAGCACCATTAGTTCTTTTCCTGCAGCGCCTGGCGAAGGGTCCGTCCCCGGAAATCCCTACTTCTAAATCCCAGTGACCAGCCGGGTGGCTACGAGCCGAGAGTGTATCTTTTGTTAGAAAGGCTTACCCATTGGACTACTCAGTCAGCGCTGACTAGTCTAATGGTGTAAATCATTTAACACACAAGAAGACAGCGTCTCTTTTTTCTACGCGCAGACTACCGCGACCACTCGATTACTCTAGCAACGTCCTCGTTGACGCGGCTTCGAGGGACTCAAAAATAAACACAAGCCTCTCGAACCCAGCGGGAGAGCCAAGAAAAAAGGAACTAAACACACGAAGGCGATCTATCCATATTGTTGCAACACCACCGCTACGATTGATCTAGTCCGCGGGCTGCACGCATCTCCCTACTCCATATATATGCGCGCACGAGAAATAAACAGCACAACCGAGGCATCACGCCCCGCTTGTGCCTCGACAGAAATAGGAACAACAACAGACCTACAACACGCAGCTCCGCCATATACCCGCACTACCAAAAATAAAACAACTTAGAGTCACCGCACCGGCCTATTCCATGACGACAGAGGCAAAAAGAACAACCAAACCATAACGGAATCACAAGGCAGAGGGCATAAAAGACCCTTTCCTACGCAAAAATACTACCGCGAACATTCGGCGACTCTTGCAACGTCCTCCCTGAAGCAGCGTCGAGGGACTCAACAATACACTAGCACATTATCAGGAAAAGAGAACACGCACGCACCGCTTCCGAGCCTCCCTCTCGAAACCAGCGGGAGAGCCTAGAAAAAACGAAAAAACCATCGTCATCTGCGGACGTACAGGACTAACCGGTCGCCCCGGTGGTCTAGTGGGTACCCTCGCAGCCTGCTAAGGGCCAGGCCATGGGCTCGAGTCCCGGCAGCGTGCGCTTTTTCTCACTAAATAAATCCTGGTCTAGGATGAAAGCGACGCGCGGCAAAGGTCGTTGTTAGTAAACCATATTCGACTTCGTACGTCGCGAGGGAAGGGATTGCCCTTCTCGCGATGAAAACATCTCAGGCAGGAACCGCAGGAGGGTGTCCAACCCCCCCCTGCTGTGTGACCCCGGTTGGGTCGTCTAGCTAGTAGACGTGAAGGATAGGGGCCAGAGGGGCAAACGACAGAGTCCAACGATGGGAGACAATAATGGTAGAAAAAAAAAAGTGCTACACCCCCAGCGCTTGACAGTAACAGCAAGCGTCACTGCCCTGTCCCATGACGGTGAAAAAAATACCAGAACAGACGAAACGAAGACGCACGCAAGACCAAAACACGAAGCCTAATAAAAAAACACACACCCACGGCGTTGAGAGAGGGCATCCTTTATCCAGAACCCTCTCTTGCTGTTCCGGCGTCCCTTGCCCCGTCTGCCAATCCAACCGCCGCCGATGCAGGACTCGAGGCCGTCAGGTACGGCTTCAACATATGGTTCGCGATCGCTTTCGACGTGATCATCTCCCCTGTCAGATTCCTAGCCTTGACGACCTTGTCGAAGACACGGCCCAAATGGTGTCGCACCCTGCAAGCGGAGGGGGAGTGGAGGGACATGAGAGTGAATCAAAAGCCCGAAACGTTCCAACTTCAGACACCCCCGACACAGCGACAGGAAAATCATGGCCCGAAGCCTATTGAGCAACAAATTGGTGCGCATAAATTGGGCGATAAATACTTTTGGTGCGCATAAATTCACTGGGCATGGCCGGTGAAGCATGTCGTCGGAGACGCTCGGTTGGCTGTCGTCCTAGGAGAGAAACTACGCTCACGTCTGATTGAAGGCCTTCTCCTGCAAGTTCTGCTCCGCGATGAGATCGAGGGTTTCCCCGAGGCTGTTGAACAATGGAAGAACGTAGCCTTGTTCATCTCATAGGCCTTTGGCGCCAACGACGCCGTAAACTTCACTGAAGAGGGCGAGCCAGCGGACGATACAGCGACAAATGTGTGCGATAGGACGGGGGGATGTAGGGAATATGAACACCACCTTCTTCAGGGAAGCTCGTGGGCGAGCGAAACCGACATCTATTTTCGGCGGTACCGAGACGAATGGGAAAAATGCTGAAACGAACGTTTTGGCCAACAGATAAGGGCTTCATGCATTATCATTTTGGCCACCAGAGGATCTTCGTACGGCTATTGATAGGCGCACAACTGTCCGCCGCTTGTCTCGTCGTTTTGTCGTGGGGTTTATTCGAGCTCTTAATCAAGCCACGTGACGAAGGGTAGACTAAGTGAACACAGTACTTGGCCGTGGAAATATATGTACATACGTACCTATGTTATTCTCCCGGGTGTTACTACAAACCCGATGTAAGATGGAGGGGCCATCTTCGTTCAGAACGACCGTGGGGAAAAAAACAAGTTCCTGTTCGACGCTTTTATAGGACGCTGCGCGGATTCACCGAAACCACTCAGCAAAAGATCTTCGGACTCATTTGGATATTGTTCGCTGCACATTAGCACGTTTTTAACCGTGCGCTCTCTGACTGACGCGATAAATACTGGATATTCTAGGGTTTCCCCCCGGGATTTCCTATAGTAAGGCCGTTGATTATCCGGTCCAGGTTATCCTGTAGCGAATTCCCTTACTGCAAGTTGCTGTAGAAAAGATCCTGTCCAGAGTCGGGCCGAATTGTATCGGTTCGGCCCGGTGCGAACCCCGTTTTCGTAGGAAAAATAAAACTATCGGGCAATTTGCTGGAAACCCTATTTTCAGTGGGCGCGGCGTGTGAGCGAGACCGCCCTGGTTGTGTTTTTGTTGAGCAGCAGCTCTCTATAGCAGGGCGCTTACGGCCATGGCGCGACAAGCACGAGGGAGGATGGCAGGCGGGCGGTACGTGGAGTGCATAAAAATCACCACGATCGTGCGCTAGTGGGTGAGGAAGACCTATTTCTCGTGCTTGGGATGTACAGCCTGCTGCGAGCGTGGCAGATGTACGAGCGCGCCATGCGGGACGGCCTAGTGTGCCACACTCCACCATACTCCAGAACAAATCTCCTCCGACGCTTTTAGGAAAGAACTGTTCTCCTCCTTTGGTCTTGGCCTCCTGCAGATTTGCCTTCGAGGTGTGCGGTTGGAACTGGTGTTGGTTCGTCCCTCCGCTGCCTTCATCCTGCAGGAAATTTGGAGAGCCTGACCAACAAAATCCTGTCCAAACAAATCTATCTTATTGAGCTCTGTTCGGCTGGGAATTGAAAATTCCAATTTTTCAACTGGAATTTTTCAAACCGTAAGAACCCCACACGACGAACATTTGTCACAGCATCTTTCATAAGGCAATGCAGAGGCTTTCTCCTGCATTCCGCCACAATAGTATACCTTTCGGCAAGGAGAGTTAATTCCGTTGATGAAGCCTTCGGTGAGGCTACTTGAGAGGCTGGTGTGGTTGGCACAGGCGGGTGTGTGCGATAAACGCGGCCGCCTTAATTTCACGTTTTCGTGAAAAAAAACTCACGATTCGGGGAGGGGGAAACGGGCGCGATAATAACGGCCCATCGCCGTACTAAGATTCCCCCATAAACTGCCGGGAAAACGTCCCGCCCACTGGAACGTGGCTGGAATAAGTTGTCTATGATCGGCGACTAGACCCTCCGATAATAACACGACAAAAAATCAATAGATGTTACCTGTACGGCCGGAACCACCGTCAGCCTGGCGGGGACGTCACTGCGACTACCCTCTTGAGGGTTTCCTGGAGACTCCCAAGGGCCCTCCACCCCGCCGAGAGGGACGACCTTCAGCCTCCTCTGTTTGTTGGTCAGTCCCTGAACGCACCCAAAACAATTACACAGGTGGCCGCAAACGATTACAGTGCGGGAGCGAGAGGGGCGGCTCAGTACTCCAAATCGTGCTGGCCCATGATTGGGATCCCTGAATCCCTTCCCCTCGCAAATTCTTGCCACGCACCCTGAGGCGAATCTTTCCAAACCTAGCACCGGTTTCAACCCAACAACTTCAACTCACCGCGTAATATCCCGCACAGGCGCGTTCCAGACAGACACGATTGGTATCCGCAGAATTGACGCACACCATCGCCGCTGTTTCCGCAGCCTGAACCGCGATTTCCAAGCTTCTCAGGAGATCCTNACTCGCGAATTACGATCAAGATGCGCGACCAGAGCTTTCTCGTCGCCCCCGCCACCTTGACGACATCATCCAACGTCTGCCGTACGCTGGCGGCCGTGAAGCTGCTCCCGACACATACTTTGGCCGTCCTCTTCCCGCCGTTTTTGCTGACGCCGGTTTGCGCCGTCGCGGCATTTTCCGCGGCGGGGACGGGTTCGAGGGTCTGGTTCACGCCCCCGCCTGTGTCTTCCTCCGCTCCACCTGCACCCGCAACCCCATCCGCCTCTCTAAGCTCTTCGACGTCAAAGACGTCAGTCTGCTCTCCAATCACCCTTGGTTGCTCCAGAGCCACACCTTGTTCCGCACTGGCGCACCCCGAAGTGCAGTATCTGTGGTTGCCTGTACAATCCGCGACGAGGGTCCAAGCAGTGTTGTACGGTTTTGCTTCCCAAAAAGGCACTTCCCAGTGAAACAAATCAAGTATCTCGTCAAGGGCGCACAAAAAAAATAAATCCGACACTACACCCCTGATTTTTGCCCTCGAGGGGGGGGGGGGGG